TGAAGGGGAGTAAGTCAGAGGGGGAGACGAACCATGAGAGACGATGGACTCTGAAAAACAAACTGAGGGTTCTAGAGGGGAGGGGGTTGGGGGGATGGGTTAGCCTGGTGATGGGTATTAAAGAGGGCACGTTCTGCGTGGAGCACTGGGTGTTATGCACAAACAATGAATCATGGAACACTACATCAAAAAAAATATACCGCAGATATTTGCCTTGTAACTCTTCATGTTTTTCTATGCATATTTTTTTCTGATGCCTCATTATCCTCTTAGTACTTCAGTGTGTATTTCCTGAAATACAAGGACACTGTCCTACAAGACTACAGGAAACTATCAAATTCAGGAAATTAACTTTGAAATGGTACTGCCCATCTAAACCATAGACACTATTCGATTGTCACTGGTTGTCCCAAGAACATCTTTTATAGGTCTAGGATCCAATCAAGGATCACTCATGGCATTTAGCTGTAATATCTCTTCAATCTTGTCAGTCTTTTCCTGTCTTTCATAATGTGGACAGTTTTGAAGAGTGCAGGCAGTTACTTTGTAGAATAACCTCCATTTGGATTTTTTTGTTTTGTCATAAGTCATTTCGGTTTGTACACCTTTAACAGGAATGTCACAGAAATGATGCTGTGTTCTTCTCAGTGCATTATATCAAGGGACACACAATTTTGACTTGCCTTGTTGCTGGTGGTGTTAACTTTTGTCACTTGATTAAGCTATGTCTGCAATGTTTCACCACTGTCAAGTTAAATATTTTATACTTACTAGTTAATAAATTATATTAGTTGCCATTTTACTGTAGAGCTTTTTTTCTCCCCCATCTATTTAATTTTTGTATCAGTATGGACTAATAGATGCTTATTTTTATTCACTCAATTAGAATCCATTACTATCATTATTTATTCTGATACTCAAATTGTCCCAGATAAAGCAAATGGGAGTCTCTTTAATCTGGTTTCTGTATCCTTTAGATGTGTCTCCATTATTCCTCGAGCTCTTTCTTACTTTCTGGAATATCAAGATGCTCCAGGCTTATTATTTCCTTACCCCAGCCCTCAGATCAGCCATTTCTCCATGGAGCCCTGGTACCTGTTAATGGAGAACAGTATTCAGAAATCAAGGTATCCTCTTGCCACTGGGTTATCATTGCTTCTAGGCTTTTCTAGGAGGTAGAACTCCTAGATATATGGATGTATGTATATCACACACATGTATGTACACATACGCAACTATAGCTATTTCAATATTCATCTAAATATATTAAAAGCCAGGTGTTCATCCACATACCTCTAATTCCAATCCAACACCACAGGATTTATTTGAATCTTCCACATTTCATCTTTGTAAATCTATCATCTGGCAGTGGAAAGCCTGGCTCCCATTATCTTTGATATTTTACTTATTTGTTCAATCCCCCTTATATGTAACTCAGCTTTGATCCTGGCAGCCATGGACGACTCAGTTTTGTGGTCACCACGTGGGCCTCCATGTGGATGAAAGGGAGAGCTTCTCGAGTGTTGACTTGGAGAGTCCATAACAGCGTGTCAGCCCTTTCCCTTGATGCTCTGTAAAGAATTTTTCGCCCTGGGCGCCTGGGTGGCCCAGTTGGTTAAGCAACTGCCTTCGGCTCAGGTCATGATCCTGGAGTCCCGGGATCGAGTCCCACATCAGGAGTCTGCTTCTCCCTCTGACCCTCTTCCCTCTCGTGCTCTCTATCTCTCATTCTCTCTCTCTCTCAAATAAATAAATAAAATCTTAAAAAAAAAAAATTCTTCGCCCTTTCCCCAACATTTTTAGTTGTTTTGAACAGGAGCATTGTCAAGAATAAAATTGCCTGTAATGTGCTCATAAATTGAGCCAAATATTATTTTTATGTGCTCTATGAGGAGAGAAAGTCAGGAAGCACTGCTCTGGGCATTGTCTTTCTTCATTTCCAGTTTTGCCTGGATCGGGTTTAGCTGTGGCTCCCTATAATCTTGCCAACTCTAGACGAAATCATACATTGAGCTGCTTACATTGCATCCGGTATTCAGATGATGGAGGAAGACAACGCACCACACAGCTCTTCCCTCCCTAGCCTAGATCAGCGTTTCCCAAACTTGTGTGTGCTCCAGTCACCCGGAGAGTTCCTTAAAATGCCGAGCCTGTGTTACCTGGTGTGGGGTGGAGCCTGAGAGTCTGTGTTTCTACCAAGTTTCCAGGTAGCAGGAGTCTCTAGAGTGCTCATCACCTCTGTCCCAGTGGTCAGTGAGGGGTGGTTACATTGCACAACCACCGAAACTTACAGGCATTTTTAACTTTTTATTTTTTTCATTTGCAAACCTACACACAAATGAAGAGAACAGAGTGAACCCCTAAATCTCGCTGGCATTTACCAAACTTCCCTTGCCCCTGACCATTTTGTTCTTAGGGCATTTTAAAGCAAATCCGGCCTTCTATCATTTCAGGGTGCACCTCTAACAGATAGGGATGAAAAAAAAAAAAAACCCAAACAAACCATGGTGTCATTATCACAGAATTAACAATACATACATATAACACAAAAACATCACTCCTGGACACCATGTACTACTCAGTGCACATCCATATTCTCCGAGGCGGGCATTGCATGGGTCCCCTGGTCGCCTCCTCCACGGCCGCGGGCTCACTCCCTAGTCACCTCCTCCACGGCCGCGGGCTCACTCCCTAGGCCAAGCACCTTCTGTTGCTATGCGCCTTCTGTATGCATAGCTACTTCTATGCTATGCTTTTCGTCACTGGCTGAGAACACAGGCATTTTCCTCCCCAAACTGTATTTTTATGGGCTGCCAGTTTTATTCGTGGGAGAACTCTGTTAATAAACATCAGCAAAAGCTTGAGGATCGTGCCCTTTGACCCCCTTGCTGGGTCTCTGCCCAGTCGTCTGGCCCTGCGGCTGGGACAGTAAACAGCAGTGCAGTCAGGAGGCCTGGGAAGGTGGCCCTGCTGCAAATTGGCAGCCCAGGTGACCTTGATGTGGACATTTGAAAACAGCTGCTTCGACAGAGGCGTGGAGGATCAGGCTTCCGGAACCCTTGCAGCCTTGAACTCCTCTAGTTTCCCCCGGACATCTTCCCATGGCCGGCTGCCCACTGTGCTGTTAGCATATCCCGGGGCCACATGCGCTCACCTGACTCTGCACCTCTCCAGTCCCGGGTTCGAGGCAGAAAGGGCATCCCTCCACGAAGGACCAGCAGGAAGCTTGTTCCTGTGGCTGTCAGACCTACCACTGTCCCCGAAACTCACGGGGAGCAGCCAGAACATTCTATCCCCATGTTTTCCTACCAAGTCCCAAGCGTCTGGTGGACCCTGAACCTCAAGAGAATACACATGGTGTCCTGGCCAACCGCTTTGTGACCAGACTGCAAGGGCTGCCAAATCCCCAGCTGGGGACGGGAGGGAGGTGCTGGAGGACCCGCAGAGGTCGAGCCTCTGGGCCCACATCCCCACCTGCTCAGCTGGTGCCCGTGACAGGAGCCCTCACCCAGACTCTCAATTTCCAGGTTCCAGATTTGGTGGTGTCAGTCGGGGCTCTTTTGGTTGTAGGGGACCGAAGTCAAACTCAAAATTGTTTCAGCAAAAAAGGTGGATATGTATTGGGAGGATGTGGGAACCTCACGGAGCAGCCTGGTCTCAGGAAAGGCAGACGAGGAGACAGGCCTTCCTGTCATCTTTCCTCGGTCACCTCTTCACCAAGGTGCCTTTCTCCCTCCCAGAGCCCCACAGAGTGGCAAGAAATGTGGCCCCAATGGCCCCGAGCTATAGGCCTCACAGAGGCGCCCACACATCGCAGTCCCTCAGGAGGTGCCTGAGCTCAATGCCAGGCCCACCCCAGGCCAGTTCCGGCGGGATGTGGAGCCTGGGTACCAGCTCCCCTCATTATAGCTTCTGGCACCCAGAGAGACTGACTCTTCTGTAGTCCTCACTCATAACTCGAGGGGCAGGACTCTGGTAAACCCATGTGGGGTCAGGCGCCCACCCCCGGAGCCAGGGGCTGGCCAGGCCGCAGGAAACGGCCACTCCTGAGGCGCCCCGTGGACGTGCAGCCGCGGCCAGCCCGGGGCCCTGTGCCCATAGTCCCACAGCCGCTCTACCACTCGCTCCTCTCCTCCCATCCCTGACCTCCGAGGGAGCGTGCATGACAGTCACCCTGTCTGACCTCACCTCCCTCGAGCCACGCTCAGGGGAGAAGGCCCAGCTACCTCCTTGGGATTCAGTGAGTTGGTGAGAGCTGTGGTCACCAGCAGGTGTTGGAGGAAGCCAGACAGAGCTGGCTGAGGAGGGCATGAGGAAGGCGGGGGGCAGTTATGGTCAGCTCTTTCCAGATGGGAGACAGAGGGTAGCCAGTGGCCAGAGATTCGGGGCCAGGGAGGATGTTTGGGGCAGGCGAGGCCTGAGCATGAGGGGCGGTGCTGATCTGGGTTAATCTTCCCTACAGCTCTCTGAGGACGTCTCCTTCTACACTAAGGAAGTATCTATACTTCAAGACCAAAAGCCCCTCCAGCGTGGACCGCACCCTTCTGCCTGAGGCCGCCCCTCTCTACTCTGGATCCAGGGCGCGGATGTAGGGGGACCTCGGCAGACTGGAGAGGAGGAAGGGTGGATGTGGAAGAAGGGGCAGCATTAGGGGGCTTGCAACCTTGTTCAGGACAGTCTTTGTGGCTGAAAGGCCCTAAGGTCCCTCTCCATGTAGTGAGCTCCTCCAGGGTCCCCTCGCCCCAGATCTGAGGTAAGTGTCAGGCCAGGGAGGTTACTGGAGCCCCGATCAGCACTGGATGTGCCATGTAACCCACCCTGCAGGTCTGTCTCCCCGTCTTGCTGCCCAAAGACCCCAGGGACCAGCTCTGACCTCTCCGAGCCAAGACCCACCGTAGCCATGCCAGGGGCACATCAAATGACACCACAGTTGGGGCTGGATGTTCACTTCTCTTTCCAAACAATACCAAACACACGGCCTAAGTGTGGCCGGGGGGACAGAGTCAGATTGGGGACCTGGACATTACACACCCAGGGGGCCCTTGGCGGAGGCGGACAACTTAACAACTGGTCTGCAAGTCAAAAGAGAGGAGAGCTGGTTAGTGGGGTGAGCAGCAGGGTGGGGCAGGGGCTGTGGGGTGCAGGCCCAGATGCAGGAACTGACCAGCGCAGTCAGACCCGGGCACCCACGGCAGCCCTCCCTGGGGCCCACTCCTGGGGGCGGGCTGGCTGTGTGCTGGCCGAGCCATGCGTGGGGGTGTCCGCGTGGTGCTGGGCGTACTGGAAGAGCCTGGGACCTGAATTCAGGAAGAGCGGGGTCAAGCCTCTTGGTGTCCCTGACCCTGTTTCCTCATGTGTAAGGGGGAGCATTCATCATCCTGGCACACTGCCCCCTGCATGGGGTAGCTGTGAGGAGCCTGCCAGCCCGGGGAGGGGAAGGGCTCTGGCCACCCCAGGGCATGCGGCACCAAGGGCTGTCTTTGTGGCTGTGTCCCCAGGGCCCTGCAGGGAGTAAAAAAGCCACCCCAGGAAAGCGCTGGCACCTGGACAGGAAACGTGCTGGTGCCCGTGTGCTGTGCAGACGGGTCCACACCTGCTCCAGGACAGGCGTGTGCTCCTGTGGGCTGGGGCCTGCCTCTGGCCTCCCTCTGAGTGTCTGGGTCTGAGTCTCAGAGCGCAGGGTGGGTGCCTGTGTGGGGACAAGCTGCTCAGAGCCCTAACGGAGCTCGCGGGGCGCGCTGTGCCCTATTGGCCCTGCCCAGGGTGCTGCAGGGGCCGGCGGAGTCCCGGGCTCAGACGTACTCTCGGGCGGCAGCCGAGGGGCCAGGCCGGTAAGGCTGCGGGCTGCTGTTGGATCTCTCAGGCTCCGGGCACGTGCAGCAGAGGAAGGAGCCCCCCAGCATGGCCAGACCCGCGGACGTCCAGCCCACGAACAGGGCCGAGCCAAACTCATACCTGCAAGGGGTAGGGAGGACGGCGTCAGGTGTGGCTGCAAGCCTGCCCTCCCCCAAGGATCCCCCCGTGGGGGCGGGGGGCGTGCAGGGGGTGGGGAGCTGAGACTGGGGGCCTCCCAAGCCTCCTCAATCTCTCAGAGAAGTTCCGCTGCAGGCCCATCGCTCCTCCCGACTTCCACCCAGCACATCATCCCCACCCAGGGGGAACCCAGGCCCAGGGTGGGCCTGCTCCACGCAGACTCAGGCCCCTTTCCTCCTCCGGCCAGGGGCGGGGGTGCGGGAGGGCCGCCAAGTCCCGTGGGGAGGAGCAGGGCAATCCCTGCCATCTTTCTCTCAGTCCCCCTCCGGCGCCCGAACTCCCAGCCCGGGCTTCCCGCGGTCCTCGGGGGCACACCGGGCCCTCCACCTGGCGCTCCCGACTCCCCGCCTCGGGGCCGCCGCCAGCCTGCGCACCCCCACTCCCGCTCTGCGGCGCCCCAGGGCTCCCTGCTTCCGTGCCTTTGCTGGAGGCGCCCCCTCCTGGAGCATCCCCCCTTCTGCGCTTCCTCCGCTCCTCTGCCTTCAGGGCCCACTTGGGCCACCTCCTCCCAGGGACTTTCCCTGACCCCTCCTGCTGTGCCTCCTGCTGACTCTTCCTGGGTGGCCTTCAGCTCCTGGCTTGCCTGGCTCCCTCCGGAGCGCCCCGAGGGCAGGCAATGCCGGATTCATCCGTGTCCCCGGGGCCCAGCACGGGGCCGCTTACCAGCTGCCTGGGGGAGTGTTGGAGGGACAGGGAGGAGTGCCAGCCTGGCATCTGTCTCTGAGTTGAGCTGCCTCTTGCTTGGAGATCTTCGTGGCTAGAGCTCCGACCCCAGGGGACGAGCGCCGTGCCTGTGGTCTCCTTTTCTTCCCCTGCCACACCTCTGCCTTCTCCAGCCGGCCCTCCTGACTGCGATAGCCTGGGTACCTTTTCTTATTCTCCCTCCAGCCCAGGGCCCAAGGTCTGTTGGGATGTCTGGGGTTGACACTGTCCCATTCTCTGCTCCGGCAGAGCTGAGAGGCGGTGTGGAGCCAGATGGGCCCAGGCTCTTCACAGAGCCCCGTATCCGGCCCTCACGCCCTGGGGCCTCCTAGTCCTGGCCCTTCCGAAACATCTCTGAACCTACTCTGCACTTGGAGCCTCGGGCCCAAGCCCGGCTCCAGACTTTTGCGCCTTACCGGGCTTAGCCTCTCCCCACCGTGCTGCATGCCGCGGCCGGAAGGATTGTTGGCTGCCTTCATCCCCAGGATGGGGAACCAAGTCCTCCTCTGGCTTAAGGCCCCCCACATCTGCCCTACCGCTTGTCCAGTCTCCATCTCCCAGCCCAATGCACCTGCCGCCTTGGGCAGGAGTCACAACGAGGGGTTTACCGAGTGCTCTCCGGAGCCCCGGCATTGTGCTGAGCCCTCCCTGCAACATCTCACTGAGCCCTCACAACCACATCAGCTGGGTCCTTGGGTCCCAGCTCCATCTGACTGGAACTCGCCCTTCACACAGCCAGCACGCCCACATCTGGGATTTCAACCCGGATTCAGGTTGCTGAGCTCCTGCGGTGTCCTCCACGGGACTCCGGCCCCTTCAGAGGGTTCAGCCACACCCTGCCTGGCCCCCCATTCCAGAGAGCTTTGCAGTGACAGCACCTGCAGCTCCCCCCACCCCGTTTCTTCCTCCTCATGTCCTGCTGGACAAAGGCAGCCGAGCGGGAGGCCCAGCTCCCTGGTCCAAGCCATGCGCCGGCCCTCACCTGGCGTTGACAGGTGTGCTGGGGTTGAAGAACTCCTGGGTCACTAGGGTGGCATACCACGAGACAGCTGTCAAAGTGCAGAGGCCTAAGGACAGAGGACGGAGCGCTCAGCTCGGCTCTGGCCCCAAGCTGGCCACCCAGAGCGGGGCCACCTGCCGTGGCCGAGATGGCGGACAGGGAGCCAGGGGCACTGACCTGCCAGGAGGAAGAGGACACCCCCAGAGACGGCGATGCGGCCCTTGGCGATGGGGTTGCTGTCTCCAACCCGAGTGCACTTCATGCCGACCACGCTGAGGACCATGGCCACAAAGCCCAGGAGCACGGCCACCACCATCAGGGCTCGCGCTGACTGGATGTGACCTGGGCAGAGCAGGGGGCACTGAGCAGGCTCTGGGAGAAGTGGGCAGGTGGGAGGAGCGCGGCAGGGAAGGGGCTGGGGCTGGGGCCGGAAGCTCCCCCCGGGCAGCCACCTGCAGCAGGTGTGAGGGGGCCGTGAGGACAGGGTGTGGGGCTGAGCTTCACCTCTACCCCCGCCGTTCACTACCCCTGCAGGTTCCTCCAGGTGGTGTGTGCGGTGCCAGGGTAGTCAGACTTCTCTCGTCTGCTGCTCCCTGGCGGTGGGACTCCCTTTGGGGCCCGGCCCACACCTCCCAAGCAGTGGGCTCAGTTCCTCCCAGGGTCTTGCAGATTCAGCAGGAGGGAGTGAGGCTGTCTGAGGTCCAGCTCAGCCCCACGTTGGCTCTCAGGCAGGGACACCTCCCCCACCAGCCATTCTGGCTCCTGGTCACCTTCCCCTCTGCCCTCCAAGTCACCCACGGCAGCTGTACACCTGTGCGCAGGTCAGTCCTGGGCCGTGGGCAGCTCGGGGGAGCTGGGTCCCTGAAGGAGACCAGATGACCCGCCTGGATGGGTGTTGTGGGGGAGGGCCGTGTGATAGCTGCCCGCTCAGGCCTACGCCACCCTGGGCAGAGGGTGGGTGGGTTGGCCCTGAGCTGGGGAGGGAGCTGCGATGGTGCCTGTTTACAAGCCAACTTGTCAAGTTCAAATGCACATCCCAGGAGGAGAGGGACCTACGTGCCCAAGCACCTGTGTGCACAGGTGTGTGTGGGGGTGTGTGTGTGTGTGGGGGGGGGGTGTTGGCACACCCAAACGGAGGCATGCTTGTCTAGGTGGCAGGCCTGGCATGAAGGTGTGTGTGCACAGTGTGTCTGCATGCAGAGTATGGGGGGAGGTGGAGGGGAGCCTGAGTGCCAGGCACTCATCTATCTCATCTAACCCTCCACAGTCCTGTAAAGTCCTCGGCTCCCCTCTACAGATGAGGACATTAGAACACAGAGAGGGTTAGCGACTCCTTCAAGGTGATAGTAACAGAGCTGGGATCTGGACCCGCGGCTGCCAGAGCCTGGAGCCCCTGCCCTCCACGGAGCACCAGGCTGGCCTGGATTTTCAAAAGCGCACTCGGGCAGGGAGCTGGAGAATGGAGCCCAACGCAGGTCGCAGGCTGTGGGCAAGCTTGCTCTGGACTTCGCCTTCCCCCACAGCCCACCTTCCCAACCCAGCTGGAGGGAGGCCTACCTTCCAGGGCGAGCAGTGAGTCATAGAGTTTGCACTGCACCTGCCCGGTGCTCTGGGAGGCGCAGGACATCCAGAGCCCTTCGTAGAGGCCCACGGCCGTGATGATGGCGTCGCCCGCGTAGGAGGACTGCTTCCACTGCGGGAGGGCTGTGCTGGCAATGATGCCCACCCAGCCACCCAGGGCCAGGAAGTAGCCCAGGAGCTGGAGGCCTGAGTTGGCCATGGCCCAGGGGAGGGGGCTGCAGGTTCCAGGGCTCAGGGCTGGGCCAGGGTCCCTAGGGGTGCTGGGGTCATGGCCAGGTGAGAGGAGCTGCTGGGTGGGAGGGGAGGGGGAGCAGCGCTGGCCAGAGCTGAGGAGAGGGGCGGAGGCCCGCAGCAGCAGCAGCAGCAGCAGCAGCAGCAGCAGCAGCAGCAGCAGCAGCAGCGGCGGCGGCGGCGGCGGCGGCGGCGGCGGCGGCCTCAGCGGCTCTGGGCTCTAGAATGCAGGGGGAGGCCCAGGGGCTGGAAAGGCCAGGGGCCCCGCCCACAGCAGCCGCCTAAGCCAGGGCAGGGTCTCCAGCAGAGCTCCTGCCAGCCCCCTGGGGGCGGGGGGGCGGGGCCATGGCCCAGGTGGGTGCCCTTGCCCCACCTCCTAGGGATAGAGAGGGGAGGGGCTGGGAGGAGTGACCCTGCTTGCCCTCAGGGCCTTCCTGCCAGGGAACCCCCTTTAGGAACCATGCAAGTGCCCTACAATTCTAATTCCTGCCCAAGCACCAGCCCCGAGATGATGGATTTTGCTATTGCATGGCTGACCTGATCCTTGGGGTTTTCTGTCCTCTGACTGTAGGACAGAAAGGAAATGGAATTCTACTTTGCAGCAGGTAAGACTAAAGTTAGACATCAGGGAGACCTTTTGGGAGAGGGCTCTGAGGCCAGATGTGGAGAGACTGGGCTGGATGTTGGGGAGAGTCCCGGGTTCTGGGGGGCCATATGTATCAAAAGCAGGGGAGGCCAGGCAAGGGAATATGCACTGTGGGGTCTGAGATCTGAGGGGGGCAGAAGAAGGACCCATCAAGGCTGGGCCAGACCTGGCTGCCAGCCAGCAAGGGGCCTGGCCAGGGAGGTGGGAGATAGCACTGACCTTCTGGCATCAGCCCGAAGGAAGGCAGACTGTTCAGCCCCGTTAATCCCCTTGCTGGCTGGCTTAGCAGCTCCTGCTGGGGCTGGAGGCACCGGGCCCTGGCCCCCTGCTCCAGAACAGCCTGACTGGGAGCCAGAAGCTGGGAGCCGTGGCCTCCGCACATTCCTCGGTTTTGGGCTGCCCCTCCTAGTGCCCCGCCTCCCCCTTCTCTCTCCCACCCCAGCTCAGCCCTCTGGAGCAGGGGAATATTTAACTCTCCTCCAGCTCATTAGCAATCCCCTCACGTTCAGTTTGGCCCCGTGGGCTCCACCGGGCGTGGGTGCAGGGGAAATGTCACAATCCCGCTCCTACTCGGGCCAGCCCCCGGCTGCCCCCTCCAGCCCCAGCGGCCCACCTGCCTTTCCTGGACCGCACTGGGGGAAAGCAGGGTCTGGCTGCCGACCCCCCACCCTCACCCATAGGCTTCCTCCCCCACAGCCTGGCCCCCCTCTGCAGGGACTTGTCCCCAGCCTGCTCCTTCGCATTCTTCACGTGGCTATGCAAACGAGAGGGTGCCAGGCACTGCGCAGACAAGGGCTGCCCTGTGCCCGCCCGCCCGGGGCGTGGGCCCCTGGTATGGCCTGCAGCTCCAGCGGCTGGGGGCAGGGCTGGGCGCTATTTGGCCTACAGTGCCGCACTCGGGGCAAACACTGGGCCCCCTGTGTGCTGGGAAGGCCAGAGCCACGTGGATCCAGCGACACACAGACCTGCTTCCTGGGACGGCCCGAGGGTCCCCAAATTCAAAAGGGGCCTAGAACTGTTGTCGAGAAGTCAGTCCTGCGTTGGGATCCCTCTTCTATCACAGGCCGTTTGGAGACCGTACGATCAGGGGGAACAGAGGACATGGCTGGGGCCCAGAGCGGAGACTCCTGGGGACACAGTGAGCACCCTTTCCGCGCACGAACTGTGTGGTCCTCAAGGCAGCTGTTGGCGCTGGGCAGGCCGGAAGGTAACCTACCCAGGTCGAGCACGCAGCAGACCTGTGCGCTAGCGCCACACTCATCCCACACCCTGATTTCTGAGGAGGACCCTGACGAATGAGGGGACAGAGAGCCAAAGAGGGGAAGTGAGCCACTTAAGGTCACACAGCTGCCCCCAGAAGTGAAATCTGGGGGCGCGAGGCCTTAGAGATGTGGGGATGCCTGCACGCCCCTCTGTCAAGGCCATCCCTCCCTCGCACTGGGCCCCAGAGCCACTTTGTGGTCCAGAATGAGGCTCACGTCCCCTCTGAAGCTCTTCTGGGCAACCCTCCTCTTTGCTATTTGAGGTTTCCAGGCTGTTCTGTCAGAATATCCTCTCCTACCCTAAGGGCCTGCCCTCACCAAGGTTCCAAAGCCGTTCGGAATTCAGATGGCGTTCCTGGGGGAAGTTTCCTACTCCCCCTGCGGTCCCCTGTAGTCCAGTGACTCCCAGGCATGCGGGGAGAGCAGGACCGCTCAGGGTCCCAGCCCAGCCTCCGTTTGGAGCTAACTGGAAACCGCCCTGGGGTGCCACACTTCCTAACAAGTGCCTTCACGTATGTGACTAAAAGCTTGGGCTTCTAGCTCTACCTTTGCCACCAAAAGGCTGTGTGACATTGGGCAAGTGCCTTAGCCTCTCTGAGATAAAACAGGGATAAAGGCACTGATCCTGTCAGTTTCATGAGGGAGTTACGGGGATCAAACAACGGGGGAAAGCGCTTTTGGAAAGCATACTGTGCCTGAAGAAATGGGGCTGGCTAAGGAAAGCTCTTCCCCAAAGACTCCCTCCTGGGCGAGAACCCCTGTGCCCTCTCATCCTGGGTGTGGGCGCGCTGCCTGTGGCTGGAGCCCCACAGCCCCTTCCTGCCCAGCAGTGCCTGGCAGAGAACCAGGGTTAGCAGATGCACACTGATCATCGACTGGTTTGGGGAGTCCACGTCGTTGCCTCCCTCCCAGTGGATTACTGGAGCTGTTTCCCTGGCCCCCTCCCACTGCCCGTCGGGAGGGTCTGATTCAGTTGGTTGCCATCCAGCACACTCGGCAGCCACCACCTGAAATGTTGGGGGCTCAGGAGGTGGTGCTGGTCTTACTGCCCCCGCAACTCAGACTCCCTCTCCTGTGGAACCACAGGCTGGGAATGGAGAGGACTTGCCTCAGGCCCCACAGCTGGGAGGCAGTGTGGTGTCCAGGCGGGGCCAAGCGCCCAGAGCTGCCATCCCGTAATGCTCTGCGCCTCTTTCCACTCACAGCGTTTGGCGTGTGGCTTGCTTCCTTCCCCGGGAAATGTAAGCACCTCCAGGCCCTACTACCAGCCTCATTTTTGGGTCCCACACCTCACCCAGGGTAGGGGTGGGGTGGGATCTCTGCAACATGTGTGGCTGCAGGGGGTGCCCCCTCCTCCCCAAACAACCCTGAGCACAGGCTGTCCTTGGCATCCCTGCTGGGAGCCCTGCCAGTTGCCTGGACCACTAGCCCGCCCCCCTTACATGCACTTATCCCAGGCCCAGACTCTGAAAACGTTTGGCCTTTCATGAGTTAAACTGAGACCGTTGGCTGGCTCTGTGTGGTTAGCAATACACTGAAATTGTAAAGGTCATCTGCCTTGGTGTGGAAGCCTCTGGAGGACCAGAATCAGGCTGATGTAATTTTCTGTTCTGTGGAGTATCTGCTACGTGTTAAGCGTTGTACCAGGTGCTTTCCGAGCATTCTCTCGTTACTACGGTCAGGCATCCTGGGCGGTAAAGACCACAACCCCATGTTACTGGGGGGGGGGGGGGGGCACACGCACTCCGGCCTCACACAACTCCAAGGGTGGAAGTGAGCTTCGCCCAGCTCCGCCCGGGGGCAAAGCTCATGCTCTTTCCGTCAGTGTGTCCTGCTCCCTATGGCGAGTGCGTCACCAAACAGGACGCGATCGCCAGTGACTAGCAGAGGAGTGACTGTCCCCATGAGGTCCTGCCCTTGAGCGCGCTCACGTATGCTGCTGTCTCCCCACTTCGGAATGGCTGATCCTCCACGTCTTGTGTCCGACGCGTCCTTGTCCCCGTGTAGGGCTGAGCTCCTGACACCCCTCTCAGGTCCCTGGCTTGCGGCTGGCCCCCTGTCCTCCGTTGGGCCCCCCCAGCCTCCTTGCCTCCAGCAGGCTTGGTCTTCTGCCTCTTCCTGTCCACCCGCGCCCAGTCTCCCGGCTTGGAACACCATCCACGGCCGGCAACGACTCTCAAAGTGGCGGCTCCCCCCTCCTCCTCTCCCTGAACTCCCCGCCCACACACCGGACTGTGTAGCTGACATTTCTGCCTGGAGCCCTAACAGGCTCCTGGAACTCAAGCACAGCGCGCGCGACACCGGGCTCCCCGCGTCCCCGCCCAGCGCCATGCCCTCTGCAGCCCCTCCGCCAGAGGGCAGGCGGCTCCCTTCCTCCCACTGCTGAGGCTGGAAGCCTTCCTGATGCTCCTTTTTCTCACACCACCTGACCCATCAGCAACTCCTGTCGGCTCTACCTCAAAAATGGATCCAGAACCTGCCCTCTTCCACGCCCTCCCCTGCCAGCACCCTACTCCCCGCCACCTTCCCCTCCCGCTGGGGACGGCAGCAGCTTCCCTTGCCTCGTCCTTGCCCCAAAGCCCCTTCCCCGCACACACACCGTTCACCGAGGCTGACGCTCCTCTGCTGTCTCCCTGAGGCACGGCCCACGTGCCCACAGGGACCAACGAGGCCCCGAGACGCCGACCGCACGGGCTGTCCCCCTTCCTGCCCACTCTGTGCCACGTCGGCCTCCCTGCTGCTCGGCCCTCCTCAGGGCCTGACTGGCTTCCTTGGCCACCTCGAAGGCTGACACGCACGTGCGCACACGTGTCCCTGTCTCCCCTACCGGAGCAGCAGCCCTGTGACGGCGGGGACTTGTTTCGTTGGCTCACGTGGTCCCAGCAGCAGGCACTGAGCTGGTGCTCGACCAACGGCTACTGGCAGACTGAGTAAGTGAGGGCCCGGGAGGGGAGACGGGCTTGTGGCCAGAGGGGCAGAACCTTCACCCGTGCTCTTTCTGTCTCCGAGAGGTAGTGTGTTCTCCTGGGGCCCGGGGCCTCCGAGGCCAGACGGCAGGGCAGGACGCACGCGGCTGCCGCGGGGGCGGGGTGCCCGAGCTGGCTGCCGGCGGCGGGGGCTTGGTCATAATCCCCACCGTTC